TATTATTATTCTGTTGTTGTTGGAATATTACCCGACCAGGAGATAGGGATTTATCGTCATATTATGTCATTGTGTTGCCTTACCAAATTTCCGCTATTAGTACTCCTAGAGGAATTTTACTTCGAGCTTACTTTCAACGTTAAGTTTTCCCCTCATATTTTGGATAGTCAGCCTATAATCAAATTCAATCATATTTCATTAGCAATTAGAAGAGTACGTGTTGTTATAGTGTTTACACTCGACCAGTGGATTAGATTTCATCAAAGGGAGTAACCAATGGTTATCACCGACTGGGGTGGCACACGTTCTCTCCCAGGCACTGTCGGGGGTAGCTGATTAACCGCCAGCTGCGCGCAGGCCCCAACGGAGAGGACACATCTCGAGGATCGGTACGTCTTAACTATTACGGAACCCACCTTTGTGGAGACTACGAACATGGATATCACCTTTTGGCAATACCTTCGATTACGGAACCTAAGGATCAAGACCAAGACTTCATATTTTATGTAAATAGTCGGCACACAATAAATGTACATATTTGTATTTAATGAATCATGGTTTTCATTTAAGTTACCGGAATCGCTTACAAATCTGGGCTCGTAACACATTTTTCGAACCTCAAGACCAGTAAGGCCTTGATAAAACTTTAGTGACGGCCTGTCAAATCGAGCCTTTGGCTCAATGCACTAGTCTCATATATTAACACATGTATATTTGAGGCTGGGTCAATAGCCATTTTACAAGACAGGTATTGTTTAGTTAATTAGTCGTCACGCACATATGGTGGCAGCGGTACTACTTCTCACATTACAGAGTTACAGACTTTGATTGATCAACCACTAATGACCATGGACGGACAACTGACGTATAACGCAGTCTAGACTTCCGTCAATACCTGAGGTCAAGGGCAGGTCCGTGACCGATAGGGGGTTACATCACAGTATCTATAAAATTGATAATTTCAGATATTTGTATTGGTAAGATGTAATAAATATGTACATTTATTTGAGACACTGGAGTTACAGTAACATTGAACACCGTCCAGTAAATGTGCATGCCCTATCTCTAGTGCATTGTAGCTTATATTACAAGCCATTATATACAAAATATTGGGGTTTACAATGAAGTAATCAAGTAAAAATAACTATGCAGTATATATAACCTATATATATGCTGTATTGCATTTGGTATATAAAAAACTTGAACTTGAACTTGATAACCCTGACCTTTAACTTCTGAACTTTGCCCTTGAGTGAAGATTTCATCCCCACATGTTGAAACAGTGATGGTTTGTATCGCCTCCTCACTGTGGCCTTCATTCTGGTACAGTGTCGCTGTAATAAAATGGACAGAAAATCCAACAAGTGACTATGGAATCATCCTCTAGGTCCTATCAAAGATCAGGACACTTTCATCATATTTATCCTTAACATTCGTACTTATCTCTTTATGCTTTTAATAATAATAATTAATAATTTGAGGTTTTTATATACCACTTAGTTCGTAGGTCGTCTCAAAGCGGTTTACAAATTATTATCCGTGGTTATAGGGCCTTGCACCCAGCCAATATCTTTCTCAACTCCCTTGGGAGCATACAGCCGGAGCTGCCATTTCAGCGCTAACAGCTAGCATTCAACAATTCTAGCACTGCCCAACCACATACTCATTTACAGCTGAGTAGACTGGAACAAGTGGAGTAAAGTAACTTGCTCAAGGAAACAACAAGGAGCGGTGCCGTGACTCGAACCCGCAACCCTTCAGTCACGAGCCCGGCATCCTACCACTAGACTACCGTGCCTTTTTTGAGTATTTTCTTTTAACAATCAATCAAGTCCATGGTAATTGGTTGATAAACGTACCGGGTCCTTTTCCGGGTTACAAACTTTGACGGACAGGAGGTAGTCAAGCAGCCAATCAATGGGCTTGTCTCTGTGGAACATGAGGAAAAATTCCACCACCAGTGGCAGATCTACCGACTTGAACATCTTGCCTGTAAAACAAAATCATCATCATTCATGAAATAGCAGGTGTCCATGAGTGGCAGAGAAGTCATCCTTAAACATCTAGAATACGCCGAGGAATTTTGTTTACCGTGATATCATAACCAAAGTTCTACTTTTGTCCGGTACCCAAACACATCCATGACACAAACATTTTCTGCAAATTTGCATATTCTCATTTTCCCCTCTCAAATAAAAATTCTGCACATTAATATGGATTTAATATTTGGCAACATACAGAACAACATAAACAGTTTGCTGTGTGGTAAGTTTCAGGACTTTCATGGTTAACACTGTAAATCTGAACACAAGAAGAGTTTTACTGACTTAACCCTTTCACCCCAGTAACTTCAGTAGACTCTACCATACATTCATCTGGATGAGTCCATGATAGTCTACAGTAGTAAAAAGGGTAAAGAACATACAGAGAGCAGAACCTCAAACGCTTGTACGGTATCAAATAAATAACAACAGAAAGTAACCACAATATTCCATATTGTATGTAACCAGTATACAAATTCAACTTAATTGATTTATAACTTTGAAATTTCAAAACGAAATCAGGAAATGAAAGATACTGGGAGTCAAAGTAGTGCTTTTTCCGTTACCAATGAATCCAAGGGCAGAGAACTCCAACAGCATCCATTCCTCAGTGTGTTGTTGTTCTGCGAACTTTTTCATGATGGAGAAATACCCTGGTTTTGCAATGACATCATCTTCAAGCTAAATTAGTAAAATAAAATTGAAATTAGAACATAAAATTCTACATAATGAAATACATTTTTTTCTCAGAGAGGGATTATAAACAGCACTGTTTACGAGAAATCCCAGTTAATTTCAGTTTTTTTTCTCTTTGCTGTGCACCTGTCCCATTAATTAAACAGACACAGGTGAAACAATTACTTAACATGCAAACCATAATCAAGCATTATGACAATGTTTAAATCGTTTTAACCCTTTCAGCACTGTATACCATAATGGACTCATCTGGATCAATGCACGGTAGAGTCTACTAAAGTAACATAGGGTTGAAAGGGTTAAGTACCCAATAACAAGCTGCAGTTACACCATAAACAAGATGCATTAATTATATTTTCTCCTAAAATGCATTTGAAAAACTATTTTCTTAAATGTAACATTTCCAGTAGTTTGGGGAGAACGTCATTGTGAACCAGAGACATGTTGGGCCTGTGGTCATGAAAACATTCTCACGCTCACACTGAGATTGTTTACTCATTTTCTTGATTCGTTGATAAATGTATAATACTTCACATTTTGACAATAATTTTGAAGAATTCGGTAGAGACTTGAAGTAGAACATCTTTTTTCAGGGTTTACACCTGTCTTTTTTACCATGTCATTTGATTTAAGCGAATTACAAGAAAGTTGGTGTGAGCATAGAATCCATGATTGAGCATGAGAATGGTTCCATGAATACAACACATAGAACATATACCAAACACAAGAAAAGACACATGCAGGAATATAGTTCATACAAACAAAACATTCAGTACTTATACTAAAACACATATAAAACACCGACATTTAGCTTGAAACTGATAATTTTTTCAATGACATCAACATCACAATTATGTCAGATGTACTTGATAATTATATCAATCCATTTGACCCCACGCCAAAAAACGCTTGAGTCAGTATTTCAAAGGTTAAAATCAAGTAGAGTGCATGCAGCTGGTCATTGTGGGTGTGTAATGGTAAATGGATGATCTTGTTGTTATGTTAATCATATATTACTAAAAAAAGTATTACAACATACCGTATCTATCTATCACCAAGACCAATTTTACCAACGTGCATTAACATGCATGATTTCTAGACACATTAACACTGATATCAAACTGATGGTTGTACACCCAAACCCCTCATGTTAATAATAGTTTGTTAAACAAACAAACAAACAACAAATAAAAAGAGAAAAAAACATCTTCTTAATCAAATTAAATTTAAAAATATAAAACATGAACATTTTGAGTAAATTGAGTATTTGGCAGTTGATGGCCAAATGCAATGTCTGCACTTTACTGAGTGGTAATGATCCATCGGCCTGTTTAACAAGGTTAGACTGGATCCCTTCTCTAGAATATTGCATCATTTAGAAAAAAATAAAACTCTAATAAGTATGCTCACTTGGATATGACGGACCCCATTTCTATATCCCCGCTAACTCGTTTAGCAGGTGATAATTGTTACATGTCAAATTATACAAATTAGAGGTCCAGTGACATTTAATCCCTGACGAAAGGCTAAGCCCGAAAGCTTGGAAAAGAGTTATTTACAAGTTCATTAATAGTTGAAGATAGCTTATCCCGTTATATGATATGTTTTCATGTAGGCAAACCAAATACAACTGCATATTTTTGACATGTTATTTGAATGAATATGATTTATCACTGAATATCACTGGCAATAATACACAGTGCTATGTAAAAGGACTCCTCTTCATCATTTCATTATTTTTCTCAGCTTCTGGTACATGTACTGTTAACTGACCCCTACTCTCCTTAACTTCAAAAGTCCTTAAAATTGGTAGTTGTTATTCCCTGCTTAACCTTCAGGATAAAGAATTTATTACAGGTTGTTGTTAATATATACACAATCATCAACATAAAAGAGAGTTAATTCATTTGAAATTAAATATAGATGGGTTCCCACTGATTTTTCAATATTTTAAAGTACTGTCATCATTCTTTTCCTGTTGTTATATAAATATCAAAAACTGGCTAAAAAATAAGGACAAAAAAGTTTTTGTTTTAAATGCTCAAAGAATTCCATAAGGAGATGTAAGTTGTACAAGGGCCATGATATTTATTGTGTTGAGAAAAGATGAATCTATCTCAGAACAGTTGGTGTAGGATAAATTACATACAAAGGGAAGTAACTCTATGCTGCAATATAGTTACTCCAGAGGCCTGTTCGTTTCTGCGGAACAACCGGTTTGTCCGTTTTTAAATGTAACAATTTTGGGTATAAATCCTGGCGGACCTGTAAATGTTTATGCAGGCCCAGCAAGGCTTTGTCAAGGCTCGCCTGAAAGCAACTTCAGATTACTAGATCCGACCTTATTTAATAAACGAACTGTGGTCCGACCGGTCAACCGTTTAAATGAAAACAGCCCAGTTGTTATTCAACAAAACAGGCTCAAGCTAAGTGCACAGTTATCGTTCATTTATTTTAGACAATATATTACGTTAATAGTTTGAGCACTTGTGATTAGTTTTTTGTCACTGGTTGTGTTTATAGAAATTTCAATGAACTTTCTGTAATGAATGAAATATTGTCAAAAATCAGGTTGAACCCATCTTGAATGTTCATGTGATGAACAAAAAAGGTTAAGAAAGTATTCAACATTTCAGAAAATTTAAAACAAAATACTGCTACATTATATATAATGTATAAATTGTGAATAAAAAAGCATTATGAACACCAACTGCAAGAACCACAACATTGCATTTACCGGGTAATGACGGTAGAGTCTACGAGCTGAAAATAACAGTGTATAAACATATCCTAATTAAAAAATGAGTAGTGGGCATCGCATTATGGCTACTATGGACAAAACATCATTCTACCAGGTCAAAGGTCATACAGTATTCCATCTTTTTTTTCTTTTTTTTTTATACATTATAAAGGATTTGTTTTAAAGTATTCCATCTTCAGTTACCTTAAGCTTGGTCAAAGTTCGCCTGTCAGGACATTTTTTCATGTTAATTACAATATGATATTTTCAAAATTGTTACTCTGATAACATATGTTGGAAATATGAAATAAAAATATTCAATTATCATGCAAAAAGTTACTTATAAATTAAGATATTTTTAGATTTTTGTTTATAAATTCCAATCAATGGCTCTTCTCCACCAAATTTATATATAATTTTCAAAATGTATAAAAAACTAACTTCAGAAGTTCTGAAAAATATTAAACTTCTGTATGACCTGAAACCTTGACACTGTTCTGTATTAAAAGGCAAACATGCACTTCAAACTGATAGTACATGTACTAAAAAAGCAAAACACATTCTGTAGAATATAACTGCCAGTCTACTACGGAAATTAAAATGCTTCTAAAATCTAGCGAATTTCTGAAGGAACACTGTATGTGTTAATTATCCAATCATACGTTAAAAAGATCTGCCACATTCTGAACATGCCTAAAGTGACTACATGCATACTGAACCAGGCAAATCATAGGTATCAACATTGGAAAGTCAGATACTGGTACGATGGTGAACGTTCATAAAAGTGATTAAAAGCAAAGTATTAATTGCTATGGCGTGTATGATTTAAACTAAATTCAGTACAATCCAGTAAGTATCCCTTTTCTCTTACAATACAACACATAAAGTTAAAAGATTTTGAAATCTGTGATTGTGGTAATACAACATTTGAGTCTTGTGTATATATTACACCATACAATATCAGATAGACAAAATAATTCACGATAAAAATTTAAGTAGCTTGTACATAGATATTGTATAATGCTTCACTGAAATTCTATAAAATACTATTGGTGAAGTGGACAGGAAAATCTTGTGTCTACAGACAGAAGGATGTGTTGACAGACACTCTGATTCTGGTATTCCCCACCCTAACCTTATTTGCCGTGGAATACCCATGATGAAACACATACACGTTATACACTATTTATAGTTATACACTTTTTATAGCTATACACTATTTATAGTTATACACTATTTATAGTTATACACTATTTAGCAGCTATGGGACAGAAAGGTATGAATACCCAAGGTGCTAAACAAATACCCACAGGAAATTCTAAAACAATATTGTATGATAGACGAATGCTGTGATGAGGCAGTTACTGCACTAAATATAATACGTGTCCCGTGTAATAACCTGTACATAGAAGACGCCTCTACTCCGAGCGTATAGCTTTAAGTTACTACAGTCTGTACTACACTAAATATAATACGTGTCCCGTGTAATTACCTGTAGATAGTAGACGCCTCTACTCCGAGCGTAAAGCGTGAAGTTACTACACAGTCTGTACTACACTAAATATAATACGTGTCCCATGTAATTACCTGTAGATAGTAGACGCCTCTACTCCGAGCGTATAGCGTGACGTTACTACACAGTCTGTACTACACTAAATATAATACGTGTCCCGTGTAATTACCAGTAGATAGTAGACGCCTCTACTCCGAGCGTAAAGCATTAAGTTATTACACAGTCTGTACTACACTAAATATAATACGTGTCCCGTGTAATTACCTGTACATAGTAGACGCCTCTACTCCGAGCGTATAACATCAGGAAGGAGAAATCCAGGTTCTGTTTGGTTCGCCATCTACAACGTTACAGGATAAGAAACCAATAGTAAATATCTACATCTCTCTCTTCTTCAGCTTAGTAAAGTCTGACTGCGTATAAATTAGCGTATACGCAATGAAAAAAGAAATATGGCGCCGTTCACGCTTCAGCGAGATACCTGTTCGATGACAGCCATTGAATGGTTCCTTCAATATCTTAAAACATGGAACATATTCAGGATCCATTATGTCTGAATATACAACAAAGTGATGCTGGCAATTTTCTTATTCCATGGATATACATTCAAAATTCTTTAACATATTCTTTATGGAGCGCTAACGGGCACAATAGAATATGTTCTTTTCCATTGCGTTCATACTACCGTATACGCCCTCAAAATGCAGGTAAATCCTTATTAAGTATACATTGACACACACAAATGCATATGCCGTGTGTAAAGTGATGGGTTAGTCATCTTTCATCCTCCCAATGGGAACGAAACATCAAGAACATTTTTAATCTGATACATGTATACCAATATTGTACAGGTTTATTCTGATGCATTTTTTCTAGCTCAAAAAAATAAATAAGTATCCAAGGTCTACCGCTAGGCCTTTCTGCCTTCTACAGCTTCTTCAGGCGGACTTTCTATATATAAATATATAGCATCAAAACATAAATATATAGCTATTGATTAGATATATACATATAAGACAGTGGAGGGACTGAAAATAAAATCTTAGCTTTTACACAAAATGATTTTGTTCATCCTTTCACCCCTGTGTAACTTTAATAGACTCTAATATGCATTGATATGGATGAGTCCATTATGGTCTATAGTGGTGAAAGGGTTAAAGGTTTAAACATGTATTGAAGCCTATAAGATGCCACATACTTAACCCGATCCTTGGTGTCCCCATACGTCTGTGGTAGGTTGTCCAGGTTGGGGTAGAACTCTGGGGACGGGGCGATAATCTCCACTAAACCACTGTCTACATGCTGACCAAACCTGTTGAAATCAAAGTTCATACAACCATGTTATATAAATATATATACACAATTCCTATGGAATAATGTTCATTACGTTAAAGTTAATCTAGTACTGTAACAGTTAACGGCATACACATCGCGGGTCATTAGAGTGCTCCTACACTCGGTAGAGTCGAACCATCGGATAAGTAAAATATTTTATTGGTCCCAAGGCCTTCGACTTATCCAAGTTTTACTGTATACTATAGTAAGTAACTCTATATTCAGACTGACTAATGGTATATATAACTTTTGGTTTGTTTGTTTTGTTTGTGTTTTACGTCCTGTTAACAGCTACGATCATTTAAGGACGTGCCAGGTTTTGGTGGTGGAGGAAAGCCTGAGTTCCCGGTGAAAAACCACTGACCAACGGCCAGTACCTGGCAACTGCTCCATGTAGGTCTCGAACCCACGACCCAGTGGTGGAGGGCTAGTGGTAACAGAATGTCAGACGCCTTAACCACTTGGCCACCGCAGTCCGCATATATATAACCAATTACAAAACAACGTGTTCATTAAGTTGAAGTCATTCCAGTATGTAATACTGTATTTACAAGTACCCTGAGTACATATATCACAAGTCTGATGAAGGTAGGTTAAATAACAGGTCACAAGGAAGTTATTATACAGACAATTTTTGGTATTAAAATAAACAAAGGGCCATAACTCTGTCTGTATATTATGGAGCTCAAGATCAAATTTCAATATCATTATGCAACACTTTGCCTTCCAAAAATACTTTTTTTGTCAACTTTGATTTGGTGAACATAATTGTCAAATAGCAAGGATATTATCTATTTTTTTCAGCCGGCTATCCAGCAAAACAAAGATATACCATTGTTTATCCAGAGATCTTACAGAAAAGTACAAATTGATTTTTATCTGAATATTTTTCATTTATTGATATATATCGTATTGAATGGCCTCAATCACTGAGAACATAAATGTTGGTTAATCATCACAATTTGCATTTCACAAATGTTTCACAAACAAATGTTTCACAAATGTTTCACAAACAAATGTTTCACAAATGTTTCACAAATGTTTCACAAATTTCCCATTACATGCCTTGTCTATATACATAGTTTCTGGTATTTTTGAAATAGTATACCTTTTTTCCTGACAGCAGTCAAACCCATTAAACAACAAGGTGTTCACAACAATATTGATCAGACATTATCTAAGTGAAGCAATAGACGAAACAAGACTTTTATGACACAGACAAAAATAATGCATGTTTTCAACACCTATATATAATCGAACAAGCTTTAAAATGTCAATTAGCCACCAGACAACAGCTGTTGTCACGCTAACCTTCCGTATCCGTGGCAATATATGCTTCTTATTACAGGGGGATTGTGTATATTTCAAACAGGAAGTAAGACAAAAATCAATATATGCACAAGACATGTGGACAGCTAGACCCTTGTGTGAAGTACGTATGTGAGATCAATCAATTCAGTTGGAGCTGGTGCAGTGATATAGGGGTAATTAACTCTCACTTGGGACAACACATGGATCCTCTCTCAGCACTAATTCCTTCTATTTGTTATATTTATACATCACTTGGCATCACTGTATTATATAACAGGATGTGTTGACTCACTAGACGAACTATAAACAGCCCATTACAGGTCAGGATGTTTAGACCGGATCAAACTAGCTCCAATGATTCATATTTCATATCTATATGCATGTATCATCATAACAGTTTTATGTTTCAATTGATATTTTGCCAAAATATTTTCAAATTCTGAAATTCCCAAATTATTAATCATACTGTGTATAAATAAAAAGTAATAACACAAGTACCAATACCAACTCTAAGGAACAAAACATACCACAGCTGGAGTGGATTCACAAAGACAAAATGATAATGTAGTCCCAATGAGTTGAGACAAAACTACCACATCTTATGTCACCACCTACTAAGGACCAAACAAGAGGCCCAATGGGCCTGCATCGCTCACCTGATATTAATCAGTGGACTAAAATACAGCTACAGGCAAAATATCAGTGTTTTGTTCATAAGAAAATATTAAAAGGTTTAAAAATATGACACCTGTGGCCTTGAAAGTAGAACAAGGACATTAGGTTGAACAGAGTTTATAGTCTTCCAACCCAGCATGCTTCTGGCAAAATATCATTACCCTGGACGTTTTTGTTATACAGACCAAATCATTTAAAGATTTAAACATATATTGACCACTGTGACCTTGAATATGGGTGAAGGTCATTCATTTGGTAGTCCTTCATCCCAGCATGTTAATGGCATCCCAGCATGTTAATGGCCAAATATCATCACCCTTGGCCTTCTGCTTATTAAGAAGAAGTTGTTTAAAGGTTTTTAACATATTTGACCTCTGTGACCTTGAATATATGTCAAGGTCGTTCATTTGAACAAACTTGGTAGTCATTCATCCCCGCATGTTAATGGCATTATCCTAGCCTCTTGTTTATTCAGAAGTAGTTGTTTAAAGGTTTAAAACAGATTTAACCCCTGTGACCTTGAAAAAGATGAAGGTCATTAATTTGAATAAACTTGGTAGCCCTTCATACCAGCATGCTACAGACCCAATATCAGTACCCTGGGCCTTTTGGTTATTGAGAAGAAGTCGTTTGAAGAGTTTTAAGACATTTGACCCCTGTGACCTTGAAAGTGGATCAATATCATTCATTTGAACAAACTTGGTAGCCCTTCATCCAAACATTCTACAGGCCTAACATCAGTACCCTGGGCCTTTTGGTTATTAAGAAAAAGCTGTTTGAAGATTTTAAGACATTTGACTCCTGTAACCTTGAAAGTTGGTCAAGGTCATTCATTTGAACAAACTTGGTAGCCCTTCACCCCAGCATGCTACAGGCCCAATATCAGTACCCTGGGCCTTTTGGTTATTGAGAAAAAGTTGTTTGAAGTAAAATATTGACGCCGGACGCCGCGCCATGGCATAAGCTCACTTGCCCTTTGAGCAGGTGAGTTAAAAAAAATCTATGAATATACTAGACAATAACATGGCACCCCCAAACGCTGACACAAAGCCTTGGGCCAGGTGCTCTATGCAGTTTTTATAAACTGCTTTATCACAACCTAGTTCGTAGGTCGTCTCAAAGAGGTTCACAAAAAATTATCCCTTGTTATAGGGCCTTTGCAACCAGTCAATATCTTTCTCAACTCCCTGGGGAGCAGACAGCCAGTGTTGCCATTTCGGAACTCATAGCTAGCATTCAACAATTATAGCACTGCCCTGAACCACCTACTCATTTACAGCTGAGTAGACTGGAACAAGCAGAGTAAAGTATCTTGCTCAAAGATACAACACAGTGCCGTGCCGTGCCGTGCCGTGCCGTGCCGCCGTGCCGTGCCGTGTCGTGACTCAAACCCGCAACCCTTCTGTCATGAGCCCGGCGTCCTACTACTAGACCACTGTGCCTCCAATCATGATGATTAAACTTTTATTACAGAATTAAACAAACCCTGTGTTTGTAGATAATATGTGCACCAATATAGCTAAATACTTACTCGGCCTGTATGACTTTACCAACTTCTTCCACATATTCCATGTTCCAGGGCTGACAAAGCAATTAATGTACAAAATTAATTTCAATAAAAGAATCACAGGTCCCTAATAAATTAACATTATATCTATGAAAATGTTCCAGTTCCAATATTTCTTACCCTTTTTAGCTTTGAAGTGGAAAACATACTTTCTTTATATACCAGAGGGTAATATTGAATTTCCTATAGTGCCAAGGCTACACATTTTTAGCAAATATGGCTGAAACATGATTTACTGTTTAGAGTTAAGTTATTTTACAGGCTTCAACACCCAAATTTATCCTCTTTTGACCTTTACGAAAATATTTCCATTATAACACTGAATTTTCACAACAATTGATTCCAAGGACCCCAGGACCAAGACGACGGTAAATGATTGATTGCTGATTGTATGACATATATACGCTCACGTAGCCCTTGGGGGGAGACTTGACGAGTTAAACACATGAACATTATTACTATCTGAGCAAAACAACTCAAACATTATCGTTATTGTATCTCTACCACACTAATGTTGCATCAGTCACCAAATGATTATAAAACTTTTCATAAACAATGCTAGCTTTTGTTATAATTAATGGTTGTGGAATTAATCTCTGTCAAGAAGACACCTACCTCCGCTACAAAGATGACAATCAAGCAGTCGTCGCGTTCCTTGGGAGACATACCGCTGATGAGAGATTTCACGGTCGCTGTCAGGTAGCTAACTTTGTCTCTCTTAATAGTGGGGATACCAAACACGATAGATGCTGTAAAATAATGTAAGGTGTAATAAATACAGAAAATTCAACATTTTACCTGTGAAATATATTTCATTATTGCTGATTTTTTTCCCAGTATTTCCCATATGTTATCAGCAGTTCCCTAGTTTGTTAGATAACAAAGTTGGCCCCAGGGCTGATACATGTACTGTATTAAGTAATCTTGACATACCCTTGGTTTTTATGTCAGGAAATTGTGTCAATTTTTCATTTGTAATTCTTTGCAAGTCTTAAATTTTCTTCAAAGTTTCAGGATTATGTCAACTAAACTATGTACTTACATTTGTCATTAATTTATGTTCCAAACATACAACACATATGTCAAAAACGGGTCCAAATAAAATTGCAGCAAACATTCCAAAGCATATTATATTTTTTTAACTCATTCACCCCTAAAATTTTGTAATGAACTATTCCACCCTTTGAATCGGAAGAGTTAAAATGTGTCTTCAGGGGTGAATGAGTTAACGTGATTATTTTGGTGTACACTAAAGCTTACTTCCATATCTGCTGTTGGTGACCTGGTACTGTGGCTTGAGACTCTCTGGCTTGCCGATGAGGTGAGGGAGGTAAGTAAAGAGGCTTGGCAGGTGGAGTGACCCCTGGGAGTAGAGGTCACTGATGTTCTGTAGACTGGACATTGGCAGGCCCATGACGAGGTCAGCCGAGGTCCTGAAGCATAGAAAATGATGGTCAGGTGATGATGTACTTTTCTTGGTTAAAACCTCAAAAGTCAAAGTTACCTGATTGAGGTTGGGTTATCAGACAAGAGGCTGAAGTGTATGTATGGTCCATTAAAAAACACTAGTCACACATTCAAGGTACAAGAAATTAACAACACAAACTTTATAGCAAACTGACCATACATACAGGGTATAAAACACTGACCACACATGATTGGTGTGGTTTGATTCGTTTGTGTTTTACGTCCTTTTAATAGTTATGGTCATTGAAGGACATGTCAGGTTTTGATGGTGGAGGAAAGCCAGATGTCCAGGAGAAAAACCACCGACCTCCGGCCAGTACCTGGCGACTTCCCAATGCATGTAGGTCTCGAACCCACGACCCAGTGGTGGAGGGCTAGTGGTAGCAGAATGTCAGATGCCTTAACCACTTGACTCTGTGGCCCAACCAANTATGCCAAATAACAAACCCTCACATAGCTATGGGAATCCAAGTACAACCCTGTAAAGAGGCATGGGCATTAATTAATAATATTAATTGCAGGTGCATCAACTTCAGACATAAACTAACTGCAATTCTGGGAGTTCCTTTCCACCAGCTAGCGGTGAGAATGACAAGCATACAACTAATGAATTCATAAAATGAATGAATAATCTAATCTATTTTTGATTGTCTTCATTAAGCGTTGAAATTAAGAACAAAAAAAAGTTGTTTTTGGACAATGCGAACAAATCAAATACACCTCAGCTTTGAATGTATATGTTAACATCATCTACATAATCATTTACATAATAGATTTTTTTTTAATGGAGAATATGCCTTTCTGATGTTTTTTTTGTTCTTAGTCATAAATTCATTGTGGGTCAGAGGGATATACATAGATTTTATTTAATCCAAACATTTCTATCAAGTGAAGGAAAATTAAGTTCAGAAATGTGAAAATTGATTAAAAATCTAAAAAAAAAATGTTTAAGAATGTAAGCTTTTTATTAAAGAGCTTACCAGTTCGAAAGACAAGTGAACATCTACATGCACAGCTCTGGTGAAAACTGTCAAAAGTGACGTCTGCTACGATGCACAACCACTCTACACATTCCAGTACAAAGGAGTCTCTGACTTTGTTTACACACAAGACACACTTATATATGAACTGTATAATTAACAAATAAATCAACTTTATGGCCTCATAAACAGATTTTCTTACAGTCTAGGACAAGCCTTCGCATGTTAAGACACCTAGTAATAAAAGCTGAAAAACCGTTTTAATAAATTAAAAAAACCCACAGTAAATCTTGAAAATTGGAATTCTACCATATCACATAGGACTACCTGCATGTACAATGGACAAAGCTGTACATGTATGTCAAGTTACCAACATATGTTTTATCACTAAATTTGATATCAAACAAGCTATTACACAACACGAGAAGGATAAAACAGTGATTATATTGATAAGTATTTATGGCGACATTGATCTGATAGTGTATCCACTTAACAACTATAATGTTGAGACCCTGCCTAGCAGGACACCAGACTGACAAAACCTATCACATGCCATTATGGGCCAGCTTTTTAATTTACTTCCCCTAACCTAAATTTCAAAATCATGATATTATTTTGAAATTTCTGACCATGTTTCTTGTCCTCAGTAATAATTACATCTTGTTTATTTGATGTTCTTTCAGTTTTATCAAAAATATGTACAACATATAATGAATGAACATACATTGCATCTTGTTTTTACCTAGTTTTAAGCTGATTATGTTTGGAACAAGCAAATCCTTGAGGTACTCAAGTGCCCAAACAGTTACATTCTAAACAACCTGGATGTTCCCATGTTAAATTGTCTAATGTCTGTGTTGACCTTATGACAGCCAAATAACTATCTCCTCCTAGAAACCAAACAATCTGTTCAAATCATCACTATTACCACAGTTGATCATACTCTGACATTACTGACCACAATATCACAGTGGATCACCCTTAGTACAGTGGATCACCCTTAGTACAGTGGATCACCCTGAGTACATTGGATCACATTGAGCAATGTGAATCACCCTAAACACAGTGGATCCCCTTGAGTACAGTGGATCATCCATTAGCACATGTACAGTTAATCAGCTTAAGCACAGTGGACCACCCTTAGTACAGTAGATCACCCTTAGCACAGGGGATCACCCTTAGCACAGGGGATCACCCTTAGCACAGTAGATTACCCTTTGCACAGTGGATTACCATTCACACAGTGGGTTACCCTTAGCACAGTGGAACACCCTTTGCTCAGTTGAACAAACTAAGGCACAGCAGATAATAAACTATTTTATATATCACATTACACCTTAGTACAATTGATCAACTTTAGCACTGCTGAAAGTACTAAGCTTATGAGCAATTCATCAAACATATACTACCTGAAGTTGTGGAGAACTTTTTATAATCACTTGAACATACATAATTGAATCAATAGCTGTATGTCCATAAAAATGTTATGTATACTTTAATTCAGGCTGTAAAATAAAGTAAGATCTGGATTCATATCTTGGTGCAAAATCAAGAACATGTATTTCTTTACTTGTTTATATAAGATTCATTACATTACAAATTGTCTCATGCTTGATTAAATTAGATTTTTATTTTAGATATCTTGATGATATCAAATACTTATACAATACAGGTGAGAAACAGAGAAAGCAGCTTTATGTGGCATCTTAATATAAACCACATCAGCAAAGACATGCTAATACATACAGTGATATATAAACCTAAAACCCAATACATACAGTGATACATAAACAGCTATGGTGCTTTTAATGAAGTGTCTATAATGATAGAGTCACATTAACTAATTATGGAAGATCTGAAAACTATAAGCTGGTGCCATTACTTGCTACATTAGGTACGAAATTTTATAAACAACTTTTCAATAAGTCAAGGTCAAAATATTCTGTTAAATGAATTTGATTATGTAAAACAAAATAAGTCAACATGTTTTATTCATACTGTCGGTCATAATTAATACAATGTAGCCTAACATAATAAAGTTGCCTTCTTTCTCAGTATTTTATTCTGGGGTTTTACGTTCTCACATGTACAACAGCCACGGTTATATGGGGATGTCTTTCTCAGTAGATAATCCATTAATTCAGTAGATAATCCATTAATTCATCAGATACCGGTAATCAATTAATTCAGTAGATAATCCATTAATTCAGTAGATCATCCATTAATTCAGTAGATAATCCATCAATTCATCAAATACCGGTAATCCATTAATTCAGTATATAATCCATTAATTCAGTAGATAATCCATTAATTCAGTAGATGATCCATTAATTCATCAGATACCGGTAATCCATTAATTCAGTAGATAATCCATTAATCTAATTTAGTTCCCAGTAGATAATCCTATCACCTTTGATTTCAGCAGAAATTATCCATCTACCTTTAATTTCACCCCAGTAAATAATCAAGTCATCTTTATTCCCAGGAAAAACTCTTGCTATCTTTTATGCTGTAGATCTTGCCATCTCCTTTCTCAGGAGATAATCAAATCATCTTTATTTTTGATAGATAATATAACCACCAGTGTTCACAGCAGAAATGATCCAGCCACCTTTGTTCTCAGTAGAAATGATCCAGCCACCTTTGTTCACAGCAGAAATGATCCATCTACCTTTGTTCTCAGTAGAAATGATCCAGCTACCTTTGTTCTCAGTAGAAATGATCCAGCTACCTTTGTTCTCAGCAGAAATGATCCAGCTACCTTTGTTCTCAGCAGAAATGATCCAGCTACCTTTGTTCTCAGTAGAAATGATCCAGCTACCTTTGTTCTCAGTAGAAATGATCCATCTATCTTTGTACTCAGCAGAAATGTTCCATCTACCTTTGTTCTCAGAAGAAATGATCCAGCCACCTTTGTTCACAGCAGAAATAATCCATCTACCTTTGTTCTCAGTAGAAATGATCCAGGCACCTTTGTTCACAGCAGAAATGATCCATCTACTTTTGTTCTCAGTAGAAATGATCCAGCTACCTTTGTTCTCAGCAGAAATGATCCATCTATCTTTGTTCTCAGCAGAAATGTTCCATCTACCTTTGTTCTCAGGAGAAATGATCCAGCCACCTTTGTTCTCAGAAAAAATGATCCATCTACCTTTGTTCTCAGTAGAAATGATCCATCTCCCTTTGTTCTCAGCAGTAATGATCCATTTACCTTTGTTCTCAGTAGAAATGATCCAGCCACCTTTGTTCACAGCAGAAATGATCCATCTACTTTTGTTCTCAGTAGAAATGATCCAGCTACCTTTGTTCTCAGTAGAAATGATCCATCTCCCTTTGTTCTCAGCAGTAATGATCCATTTACCTTTGTTCTCAGCAGAAATGTTCCATCTACCTTTGTTCTCAGGAGAAATGATCCAGCCACCTTTGTTCTCAGAAAAAATGATCCATCTACCTTTGTTCTCAGTAGAAATAATCCAGCTACCTTTGTTCTCAGCAGAAATGATCCAGCCACCTTTGTTCTCAGTAGAAATGATCCAGCCACCTTTGTTCTCATCAGAAATGATCCATCTACCTTTGTTCTCATCAGAAATGATCCATCTACCTTTGTTCTCAGTAGAAATGATCCAGCCACCTTTGTTCTCAGCAGAAATGATCCATCTACCTTTGTTCTCAGCAGAAATGATCCATCTACCTTTGTTCTCAGTAGAAATGATCCAGCCACCTTTGTTCTCAGCAGAAATGATCCATCTACCTTTGTTCTCAGTAGAAATGATCCAGCCACCTTTGTTCTCAGTAGTAATGATCCATTTACCTTTGTTCTCAGTAGAAATGATCCAGCCACCTTTGTTCTCAGCAGAAATGATCCAGCCACCTTTGTTCTCAGCAGAAATGTTCCAGCCACCTTTATTCTCAGCAGAAATGATCCAGCCACCTTTGTTCTCAGTAGAAATGATCCAGCCACGTTTGTTCTCAGTAGAAATTATCCA